TCTCTCTCAACTCCAGCCTCTGCTCCAACATCATTTGAAGGCCCATTTGGCAAGGTGCTCCATCAGGTGAAAGCTGTTATAGACACACCTCGTTTCTGCAAGGACTACAAATGCAACAAGATCTTCTATGTTCTCTGCCCTCTCAACTTGAATGACATCCCTGACATCGAGGTAAGGAACAAGGAGGAATGTGGCTGGGAAGTGCCAAGGCTTCAGCCCTTGTCCTGGGGAATAACTGTGTGGCTGGACAACTCTGACTGCATGTCCTGACTGGGCAAGAGCAGGACAAGGACTCTTGGTCTGTCCTGCCTTGCCATCAGTCCCTGCTTGGAGTGATTTTTGACTCTTCTGCATGTTGCTTTGAAACACTTAGGTGAATTTTCTACATGCAGAGAGAGGTGTTGGCCGATAGCACCAGGTGCCTGTAGAGCCTTGGGTTTGGGGAACTTGCTTTGGAGGGAAGAGTGAACAACAGGACAGCAGAACTGGGGGGATGGGGACTTGAGACCTGTTGTCTGTGGCAGTGCTGGTGTTGTTGGTTCCTTATATCCTCTTAGACCAGATACTCCTGCTTGCTCATGTTGAACCTCTGAGCGTTTTCCTGGAGTTTTTCTGACTCCCTTGAGCCAACACCTCTGTCTCTCTGCTCTTCTGCAGCAGCCCAACACCATGTCCATCACCAAGAAGTTCAACTACAAGCTTGTGAAAAGTGGCAACATCATCTTGACGGCCACCTCGGATCTGAAGGGATACATCGTGGGACAAGCCATCCAGCTCCGCACCGACATAGAGAACAAATCTGGGCGGGACACTGGGGCAGTGGTGGCCAGTCTGCTCCAGGTGAGCACCTCAGGGGGTGATCCCTTGGCTTGTGCTGGTTCTCCACCCTCCTGAGGCCTCTCTGAAACTGGGGCAGTTCTCACCAGTGTGGATCTCTGCTGCGTGGGGCTGGGGGTGGCAGGGAGGAGTCCAGACCTCTGGCTGCCTCTGCTTCTCTCTACCTTCCTGGGCCAAGAGGCATTTGTGTTGCTTCTCAGTCTGCCCTGCCATGATGGGTGTTTCTGCTCTGTGATACACCTTATGTTTGTGCTGATTTGACAAAGCAGCTGTGCGTTTCTGTGTCCTGACTTACATTTGTGGCAGACGACCATCTTTCTGCTAGCTGTGTTTTCTCCTGTCTGTGCAGAAAGTGGCTTATAAATCCAAGCGCTGGATTTACGACCTGAGGACCATCGCGGAGGTGGAAGGCTCAGGAGTGAAAGCCTGGAAACATGCAGAGTGGAGGGAGCAGATCCTGGTTCCAGCACTGCCCCAGTCCATTCTGCAGGGCTGCAGCCTCATACACATCGACTACTACATCCAGGTGAGCACACCTGTGCCTCCTGGGGAGCTCCACTGGGCTGAGCTGCAGCTTCTGTGCTTGAGCTCCGTGGCTTGAGCTCCAGAGCTGCCTGGTGGGGGTGGTCCTTGCATCAGGTGAACCTTCCCAGTGCAACATAGGATGAAGAAGATGCCACTGTTTGTCCTTTTCTTCCAGGTTTCTCTCAAGTCACCCGAGGTTTCAGTCACTCTCCCCATCTACATTGGAAACATTGCAGTGAACAGGGTGCCCCTGAGCCCCTCCCGCTCCATCCAGCACATACCCCCTGCCGTGGTGCCCAGTGCCCCCCCGGAGGAGGAAGAGGCCGCCAGCGGTTACCACCCGATGGACAATGTCTCCATCCCCACCAAAAGCCATTCCCAGCAGCAGCCGTTCAGCTACGCCCCAGGACTGAGCTTCCAGGAGCTGAGGGTGGTGGACTCGGAGCAGACGGGCTCCCCAGGCCACCCCACGCTCTGCCTGTCCACGGGAGCCACCGTCCCCTACTACGCCGAGGGCAACGTGGTGCCCGTGCCCACGGCCAGCTCGCTCATCCTGCCCCCAGAGTACAGCACCTGGGGGTACCCCTATGGTGAGGCACTGGAGGCTCCAGCCCCCTAAAAAAACATGTAGATGAGGCACCTCAGGACACGCTCTAGTGGATTGGTTTGTTTTTTTTTGAGAGGTGAGGGTTGATGGTTGGGTGTGATCTGAGGAGGCCTCTTCCAACTGTGACGGTTCTGTGGACATCAGGAAGGCAGGACAAGCTCTTGTCTCTTGTGCCCTGGGACAGGACAAGGGGCAATGGATTCAAACTCCAGCACAGGAAGTTCCACCTCAACATGAGGAAGAACTTCTTTGCTGTGAGGGTGACAGAGCCCTGGGACAGGCTGCCCAGAGAGGCTGTGGAGTCTCCTTCTCTGGAGCCTTTCCAGCCCTGTCTGGATGCCTTTCTGAGTGACCTGCCCTGGTTTTGGTCCTGCTCTGGCAGGGGGGTTGGACTCGATGATCTCCAGAGGTCCCTTCCAACCCCTGACACTCTGTGAGCACCTGAGATCTGCACGGGCTGGCAGTGGGGTAGGAAGTATCTCCTACCACACGAGTCCCTTTGCTGGCTGTGAGCTGGGATGTCAGCGGCTGGGGACTGATGTGAGAGGGGATCATGAGCTCCCTCTGCCTGCTTTTAGCCTCAGGAGGAGTCTCCTCTTACAGCTGTCAAAGCTGGCTGTCCATTCCCACATCTACACCCCTGCCTGCCCTGGGCTCCTCGTGAGAGGATCTCCCTGTTCTTAAAAGAGCTTCCAGCCTCCCACTGCTAGAAAAACTTCTGGACTTGTGCTGAGGCTGGTGGGAGCAGAGCCAGGAAAATGATGTAACTGCAATCTTCTGTCTGTCTTGGAGTGGGCCTGCAGCTGCTCTGAAGGCACGAGCTGTGGGGGCAGGAGCTGAGAGACTGTCCAGGGTGGAGAAGCTTGGGAAAATCCCAGTGTGCAGGATTCCTGGAGCTGTGCTTGTCCCGGGTGGCTGAGGTGGCAGAGCCCAGAGGTAGCACAGGCAGCCCAGGAGCACAGGCTGTTAGTGCTGGGGTAATGAGCTGTGTCACTGCAGCCCTGGCCTGGGGCACACGAGCACTGCTCAGCTGTGGGCTGGGGGTGCTGGAGTGTTGTGGAAGAAGGGGAGGAACAGAACAGGACTTTGGAGGTGCTGATTTTAACCCCTGCAGGCATCGGGACGTGGGTGGGATGGGCTGGCTCAAACCCTGTGTGTGCACACACAGACCCCAGGTGTTCCAGCAGGGCAGGTTGTGGGGTCCTGGAGAGGGAGGGGGCACAACGTGTGTAGCTGGCAGCACTTTGCTTCACGCTGGGTGACACAGAGCGGGCTGAAGGGAGCCTCCCAAACACCCCCCCATAACCACTTGTATTCTTTTCTTTGCCCTGCAGAAGCACCTCCATCCTACGAGCAGAGCTGCAGCAGTGCCAACTCCAGCATCAGCAATGGCAACTAACCCCCTGCTGCCAGTCCCGCCGGCGCTGCCCGGCTCAGCTGCCCCTGCAAGGTCTGGTACAGCACAAGGCGTCTTCTTAGCTCTCTGGCTGCTCGGGGGGGTAAATGGCACATCCCAGCCTGGCCTTTTTAAGTCTCTTTTCTAGGAAGCAGGGGGAGGGAAACCAAAAAAAGGGCAACCAGAACAGCCTGCGTGTGTGTGGAGGAGAGGTCTGGGAAACAACCTCTCCTGCTGCTGGTTTTGCCCCAGAGGTGCCCTCTGCAGCAGCCTGTGTTTAAAGTACTGTAGTCAACACTAACTGCTTTACTATCAAAGCACCTGTGATGCCTTATCTGAAATGCTCCTGACTTGGCATGGCTCCACTCCAGGTGAGGGCTGGGCCCTGTGGACTGTCTCTTGTCTTCACATGTGCTCTCCAGAAATGGTTTTGGCAGCCCTTCCTCCTTGTCCTCATAGGTCCTAGTGGTAGCTGAAACGGGAGGTTTCTTGGAGTCAGCAGGTTCAGAAGGTCAGGGACTCCTAAAAAGCCAGAAGCTCAAGCCCTTGTTTTACCCGGGTTGTGGGGTGAGTGACTGGCAGCCTTTGGTCCTCTGGTAGCACTGCCACTGCCTGCCTGTGGGGAGAGCAGAGCAGGCTCTGGCAGTGGGGAGCACTCTGGGGCACCTGGAGGCCCTGGTGGGCTGTGGAGGGAGAGCCCACTGTTCTGTGGGTGCCCACCAACCAGCTTCTGGCCTTGTCCAGCAGGGGCAGCTTTTCAGAAGCCCTGTAGGAGACAATCCATCCTTGCTCACTGCTAGACCACAGCTCTAGTCAGTCTGCAGGTGGGGGCACCAGCTCCCCCGTGTCACATCTCCCACCCCTGCAGGGTGCCCTCTCCATCCCAGCTGCCTCTGCCCTGGGCAGCCCAGAATTACATGACAATCACCTTACAAAAGTCTGTCTGATGCTACCTCTGAGTCTGCCCAAGGAACCTGTCCATGGAAGCCCTTCCTTCCCTCTGGAATGACCCTCCTGGAGGCTCAGCCTGCTGTGTCTGGCAGGAGCAGTCTGTGCTGCCCAGCTGGTGCAGAAGGTGCTCAGCCTGGGGTCTGTTCCCTGGTTTACCACTTGTCTCCTCAGCCACCTCTCGAGCCACAGCAGGATGGAAAGCAGAGGGAGTAGGAACACAAACTGCTGCAGCTCATTTGCAGCCTTGGCTGGACCTGGCAGGTGGGGGGTGGGAAAAGCTGGTGGGTGCAAACCAACATTTTACTTTTGTGCTTTCTTGTTTTCTATTGACTGCCCGAGGTGGGGAAAACACAAACCAGATAATTAAAGAGCCACGGGTATCCAGCCAGGGCTGGGACTGCAAAACCTGGGACACCTCAGAGAAGGGGTCTCTGCAACTGCCTCACGCTGGGCAGGCAGGATCTAAGCAGCCTGTTAGAAGCTCTGCAGCCTCTGCCTCCTCAGCTCAGCTCCCTGCACTCCCCTGGCAGGTTGCTGGGGACAAGCCCTGCTTTGCACTCTTTCTTTGCAAATGCTTTTTATTTTATTTTAATTTTTGTTTTTTTAAAAGTGTTGAACTGCTTTAAGGGTAGGTTAGAGGAGGTGCCGTGCTGAGCAGTGCTGGCACAACATGCACCCATGGTGATAGAATGATTGTCATTGTCCCTGAATATATATATATATATATATGAGATGAAGTTTTGTTTTTAATGATTGAATTCATAAATACAAATTTTAATGCTATATTTAATAAATTATTCTAAGAGAAATGCTGTGCTTTTTCATCCATTTCTGATGCTTCATCCATGTGCCTGTTCATGCCAAATCCAGGGCTGCATCTTGCTGATTCCTTACAAAATGAAGCAAGTTCTTTGCTCTTGCCAGGAAGGATAGATGGTGCCTTCTGCCAAGGCAGCTCGACTGACCACAGTGCTGGGCTTGTAGTTCCAGATGGTTGGAGGGAGTTTGGCACCATGTGGGCTCAGCTCAGGAGAGCTTCCCCAGCCCTGTGTCCCAAAGCCACAGCTTGTCCCAGTGGCCCATGGCTCCTCTCTGCTGGGGAGGACAGGGAGAGTGGACTCTCCCTTCAGGAGGATGGAGATGGACCAGCCAGGATCTGGCTGAAAGAGCTGGAGACCACCAGCCCTTACCCTCTCCTAAGGACCCCTTTGGAATAAAAATGGAAGAGGCTTCTCCCCACATCCATGGTTTGGTGATACCACGTCCAAAGCATGTAGGTGTTGCTTAAATTCTGTCATTGAAAGTAGCCTGAAGTGAAATCTCTGGCTCAGACATGAGAACCCTTCTTCACTCTCTACTCAGCTTCTGCTTCTGCCCAGCTTGTATTATTTAAGACTCTCCTTGGCCTGGTGGTCTGTGCCTGCCATGAAAAGCATTTTTGATGCACACGGGGCAGCAATATGTGTCCCTCCTTCCAGGCCTCAACCCAAACCCCTTCCACACCTCTGGAAAAATCCCTATGAGCTGTCAGTGCTTCTGGATCTGCTGGGTTGGGCTCCTGACCCAGCTGGGGACTGGAAGAGGCAGGCAGGGCTGGGACTGGATTCCTGGTTCCTTGTTCTCCATCCCAGAAGCTGAGCTGCTGGTAGCACATCCAGCCTGTTTGTTGGCTGGAAAACCTGAATGCTCTTTGTTTACTGTGGCCAGAGCCACTGGGCTTCCCTTCTAGACCCTCAGCCAGGGTCTGGCCTCTCTGTTTAACCTTGGCAGTGGGGAATGAATGCAGCATTTGTGGTGGAGGCTGTGGAGTGGAGAGGCCAGCTGTGTCCCACACTGCTGTGCCCGGTGTCCCTGCCGTGCTCCCGTCCACCTGCTCCCCCAAGTTACACTGGCTACAAACTGGTCCTGCAGCATTTCATGCTGTGCCTGGAGGCCCCTTTGCAAAGCAGGGAGCAAGTAGGCACACTCTTCTTCCCTGGTGAGGAGTGTCCATCTCTGCTGGTTGCCCTGGAGGGAGCAGGAAGGACCAGGAGCTGGTGGTGCTTGTTCTCTCAGATGCTCGGGCTGGGCACGCACAGCTCCTGCAGAGAGAGGCCTCTCAGTCCTGTTAGGTTCTGGCCAGGATGCAGCAGGGTTTCACCCTAAGTTTGTCCCTCAACAGCCTTGCAAGCAGCCAGAAATACCTGTGTATTGTCACTGTGATTGTCAGCGTCCCTGCCCAGCCTTGCCTGTCCCCCAGCACGTGGCAGGGATTTGAATCCCAACACAAACAGCCTGGTTGGTGGTTCATGGACCCCTTTGGAACAGCCCAGGACTGCAGGATGGAGGAGCTGGTTCAGCTCTTCTTAAACCCACCTGCAGTTGTGGCCCCAGGGCTCTGTGGCACCAAGGTCCTCAGGGTACACGAGTGCTGTGGGTGAACGTCTGGGGGTGTGTTCCCCTCAGGACAGGGCGAGGGGACAGCCTGTCCTCTGTCTCTCTTCTCTGCAGCTTCTCCAGCTTCAACCTCTTGCCATTCCTGGGGAGATCCTCTAGGCCCTTAGTCATCCCTCTCTCCTGTTTCTGGACTCTGGAATAGAGGAAAAAAAACCCTGGTTTTCAAAAAACAGCTCCAAGTAGAAAACTTCAGCACACAGGAATTAATTCAAATTCCTGCCTCGATGTTTTCAAGCAATTGTTTTTTTGGTTTGGTTTTAAATGGGGAGGGGAAGTGGTGGGCTGCAAGTGAAGCTTGTGAGCTAATTGTTTCCAAACTCTGCATTCAATGGAAAATACCAAAAATATCATTTGTCCTTTTTGTTTGTTTTTCCTTCTTCCCTGCTGCTGCTTTCCAGCCCTTCATAGCTCTGTCCTTGTCCCACTCTCCACCTGTGTTGCCTCCATACTTTTGGCTCTTCCAGTCTTGCTTGTGTCCTACTGAACTGCTTTGGCTCCTGCCATCCCACTGCCTGCAGGGAAGGGGGAACAGGGGACACGAAGGCTCTTACTGCTCTTTTTTTAGCTTTGCACTCAACTTTCAGTAGTTTTGTAAAAGTATTTTCTGCTATGAAGTTTCCCGATTGAGCCAGCACAAGAGAGGGGATAAAAAGGTGTTTTCTGGGCTCTGTTTGTTTTTTATTCTGCGTTTTAAACTATTTTCAATTCCCTGCAGCAGGAATGTCCCACCTCTCCTCCCCAGGAGAGACTGGGGGGATAAAACCCTTCAAAATGTGTGCCCTTCCTTGCACCAATACTTGTGGCTGTAATTCTTGATTCCTGTGCTTCTCTTTACAGATTTTTGGGGTTTTATACAATATTTGTGATGACTCTGGTTCAACCTGAGACTTCTGAGCAATTTATTACCGGGTTTTAAAAAATGTAAACCAGCAGTTTTACATGTTTACCACAACTTCTGGGGAGTCTTTTTGTCCTGGGTTTTAAAACCACCAAATGTAAAGAACTGAAAACCAATGTCAATAAAGATGAGGGTTTTTTTGAGGACCGTGGGTGCTTTTGCTGGGGGTCGGTGTGTGATGAATGGCATCTGAGAGGGCACAGGGGGTCAGAAGTCCCTGCTGGCTTTCAGAGGAGGCATCTAGAGCTGAAGAGAGTTGGTTCCCAGCCAACATTACAGCAGAGCTGCTTCTCCAGCTTCCCGGGAACCCTTGGGATGGGCAGACACCGGCTGGGGGGGGGACCCACAACATCCTCCTGTGATGCTGAAAGGACCAGTTGGCAGGACCGGCGCTCCCAGCCGGGAGGAAGCACTGGGGAGGTTGGGTTATTCTCTTCCTGCAGGCAGGAATCCCGGGATGGGGAGGTCGGTCCCTGCTCGCCCGGCTCGGGGCAGGAGAGGGCTATGTGTGCCCGGCTGGAGCCGGCGCTGGGGCTGCCGTGGCCGAGGGGGTTGATGCTCCAAACCCTCCATGTGGTTGCTGCCCCAGACCCTCCACGACCGAGGTGTTTGTTTGT